ATTTTGCTATCTGTAAAGAGATGGCCCCTGAGCAAAATTAGGTTGCCTGCTTGCACTTTATCTGTGGAATGTGTATACCTGCCACTGGATATTTGGAATATATGCTGCACTTTCTATAAACATTAAATTAGTGTTGAAATAAGAAATCGAGAGAGAGAGAGAGAGAGAGAGAGAGAGAGAGAGAGAGAGAAAAGAATGAAATCAAATGAACTTGGGCAGGGTCATCCTCACCATCTTTGAAGCTTCAGCATTTCTGCATTTGACTTTTTCAGCATGTGCTTTATTGTAACAACTCAACTGGGACTTTAGAGCTCAGGATCAGGCCAGAGGGTTGTTCAAGAGTTAATACAAAGAATTTGATCACTTTTAAAGTTCCAGATGCCTGCATATCAGATAGACAAGACCTGATGTGAAAACAAAATACAATAGCCATTTAATGCTGTGTACTTTGGCTGATAACACTAATGTAGGGAATGATAAATTACGGACACCTAATTTGTTTGTAGATAACAAGTGATAGATTATTTTTTAATGACTTGATTTGTGTACACAGCCAGTTTTTTCAGGTAGAAGAAACACGCACCCGAGTACAGAAAACTAAAGGAACTTTTATTGAGAACATGAAATAACTAAGGAACTCCATATTTTCCCTGGCTTTCTTTTGGATGTTTCCTTGCCTTTTATATCTGGATCCCAGAACAGCTTCAGCACTATATCGATTGATGGATTGGAAACTGATTGATTTAGTCTGTAGTTCAGAAGTGCCCCCCACTGCTGTAAGAGTATGGTGTCTATGGAACTAGTGCCACAGAAGGCCATGAAGCTGCAGCTTAATCTATTTCTAATTATAAATAATACATTAATGTTTCTACAGTATTTGCATCTAAATACAGCTGTTAAGGAACACAAAAGGCCCAGCTTTCAAATTAGTTTTGCTTTTAAATGTGTTGTACCTAGTAATAACAATGGCCCATTTAGACTACTATTCAGAAGAGACCAATGAAGCATCATCTTGTTGTTGTTTTTTTAAGCTGACGCACAAAGGAGTGCTTTTATGTAAAAATGTTTGTCATGCTGTCTTGGGTTATTGCAGCTCTTGATTTGCTTCTGCTCCTCAGACTGAAATATGGCAGCTAATAGACTGCATTTTTCTAATGGAAAAATAAGTGCTCTTGACAATCAGGTTTATAAATATGTAAAAAAAAAAAACCCAACAAGCAAATGCAAACCTTTTAATTGTTTTTGGCTAAACGGGCGGGTAATCAATAATATCAGACGTGACAAACATATTGGTGACATGCACTACAGCCAAAAGGACTGGCAAGAGATAAGGACTTCCTGTCAGCAATGACCTATACTAATTAATATTCAGATGCTGTCATTTTTAGTGACAAATGCATTCCTTGAGCTATATTGATATAGTAGGTTAAACACTGAAAAAGTTAGGTTGAACTTTGACTTTAAATATTCATTAAAGCTAATTATGGATTTTATGACTACATGAATTACACTTTCTGAGTCATCATTGGGAATTTATTTTAAATTTATTTAAAGCACTCTTCATAATTGCAATATTAGCTTTAGCACATTTGGTGGGGTAATGCAGAGACTGTTTACTCTGTGTGGTAATTATTTAAACCTTTTATTTTAAGTACTTGTCTGTGATTATTAAGTTTATGGAAGTGAAATGACCCTTATTACAGCATCTAATTGATAATTAAATAGGCATAATGGGCTCTGTGTTTTATAGATGCTTTCATTTTTCTATTATGGTTAACATTTTTCTGTTACTATAGTCTCACTGTAATTAATCATACGGTGAGAGTTTGTTTTGAGTTTTACATAGGAGCAAAAATACCTTATGAAACCGTATTAAAGGCTAAGTATCACATCACTAAGAATGGCTTCAACACATACTGTTTGGATTAACAAAATATACCATTGCCATTCAGAAACATGTTAATGGATGGACACATAATCTTAAATATCTTAAAATATTTATTGGCATAAAGAGACTTGCCCCATTTTATATCTCACTTTGCACACTTCCTTGTGCACAAGGTCTATTGTGAGTATGGTGTGCTCTATTAATTTTCATCATCATCATTCTTTATTACAGTCACAGACCAGCAGGATCATATATATATAAAAGCCCATGATGATGATGATGATCTATTAATTATTCTGCCAGTAGTAGATCGGTGTGTGTCAGGAAAAATTTACGTCATCCATGAGCAAACGTTAGAGAGTAGTAGGGCCCCTTGAGAGAGTACAAACTCTTGTGCCTTGATTGGTACTGATCTTGGGGAGGATCTGCTCTTCTGTCCCAAGCAAATGAAGGTTGCAGAGTTGGAAGATGGCTGCTTTTTAGAATCTTATAGTACTGGCTATGATCGCTGATGTATTATGGAAGTTGTAGTCTAATCCCTCCATCACTCCCTGTGTTTCCTATCCCTGGGATGTTGCAATATTGCAGAAAGATTAAGAAGCAAAGATGAGAGGACATCTTTTCCTTCCATTTCTGCCAGCAAAATGTTGTGGGGGCCATGTATCCAGACGTCTTTCACACATCTGGAATGAATGTAGGACCTTCTAGATTCAGAGTCTATGTTTCTCCTTGCATTTCTTTCATTTGAAAGGGGAAGAAATTTAATTACTCCATGGGATATTGGTGACCAAAGAAATTATTTGATTTGATTTTCAACTCTGGGGGAGGGAGCAGTAAAAGAAATCTCTTTCATGAGAAAACAGGGACACCCTTCTGGCAGAGAGGAGTTTTGGCTCACTGATTGCTGAATTATTTATGAGAAGCTGCACAGCGAGAGACTGAATGTTTGCTGATTTGTCAAAAGCTCGAACACGAGGTCCTGCCTGTCTCCCTGACATATTAGTTCATCCAACAGAAAACACTGTCACACAATTTAATTAATGAGTACACTTTCCTGTGATCCAAGCAGCTTGCTTCAGTTCTTCTCGTTTATTATTATTATTGCTGAATTATTTATGAGAAGCTGCACAGCGAGAGACTGAATGTTTGCTGATTTGTCAAAAGCTCGAACACGAGGTCCTGCCTGTCTCCCTGACATATTAGTTCATCCAACAGAAAACACTGTCACACAATTTAATTAATGAGTACACTTTCCTGTGATCCAAGCAGCTTGCTTCAGTTCTTCTCGTTTATTATTATTATTATCCATTTATTTGCACATGGAAGAGACCAATAAAAAGCAGCAGCAGACATTCTTAGGGAGAACCCCAAAGTTAACCATTCTGATAAACAGTCAGAGTAAGAAAAAAAAGTATTATTTGAGATAAAAACTTCTAATATTTTCATATAGTTTCATTAGCAATTTAGAAGAGGCAAATGTTTTCTTTCCTGGTAGGTTTTCTTGACACACTGTGATAATTCTTAAATTACAGTGTTTTTAAGGGCTTCTTCTTGTAGTGACATACATATTGTTTATCACTTTCATAAAAGCAAAATTTGTACAGTCAGGCTTTTGTGTTCTGTAATTGTATCATTTGGGTTTGCTTAAAACTTAAGATGCTGCTGAAAAGGCTAATGAAGCAAGAACCTGAATATTAGTCTTTCATTTGTTCTGTGGATCTTTTACTTTGCTTTGCCGGCCATCAATTTTTTTCCAAACATGAGATGTATAGGGAGGGGTGGGAGAAAGAAAGTTTTTTGCCAGGGTGGAATCCACTGAAGGATTTTAGAAGGACTTGCCAGATGTGATTATGATGTAAGTCCAGTTTTGACAGTTCCCATAGTAGTGCTAGAGATGCTAGTACCTAGCACAGCACTATCATGGATGATAGTTTAGAGCAGCCTCATCCCACTTAGAGCCTTCTATATGGATTAGAGCTCTCATCACCCCTGGGTAGCAGGGTTGGAGTTACTGTATAGGCCAACACATCAGACTGGTGAAGTAAAATGCCTGCTACAGGTTTTGGGTTGCCCTTGACCAAGTTTTCCTCAACAGGATCTTTCCTCCACCACTGTGGACTCCTTCTGAGTCCAATCCACACATCTTTCATTGCTATACATACTCAGAAAGGACAGATGAACAGGCACTGGCAGCAAGAGGAAAGGAAAGGATCCAAAGATTGGCAGTGAGCTATTATATGGACGTGGTCCTAAAAGTGGCACATCTATCCTGGAAGATGTGTTTAATACTCTGTTACCTACTCTGACCCACCTCTTGTGTTGGAAAAATTACTGTGTTTCCAGACTGTTGAATCTATTCACATGCCTGAAGCTCACAGAGGGTAGTCAAATTAAAAAGAAGAGGCATCTCCTGCAGGGTGGATAAAAATCATTGATTTTTTAAAAAAAAAATCAAATTGATTTAAATCACGATTTTAAAAATCCAGTTTTTAAAATTAAAATCATGATCTCCTGCACCTTTGATTTTTCTGCAGAAGAGGTAAGTATAACGAAACTTGTGTCTCACAAAATCAATATCCTTTCCTCAGTGAAATAAAAATTCAGAAACTGTGAGAAAGGCTAGGACTTGGAAAACTTAGTTACTTGCCCCCCCCCCATCACAGAGTGCCCCAGCAAGCATGGCCATTGGGTGATTCTAGGAAAGCCAAGGAAGTAGCTTTCCCAAACTCTAGTAAGTATTGGATTGTTATTAGAATCCCCGGCGTAACACAAAATTACAAGTAAGACTCTCTAGCCATTTTGCCTGAACCACTCCTTTAGGATATTATGTTCTTGATTTTGAAATGTAACTATATTTCTGATGTAAATGCATTTGATTTATTTACTATGAATCAAACACAGGTGTCCTGACATAGGTGGTCTCCAAAATATAAGCGTTTTAACTGAGTATTTAAAGAAAAAGTGAGATAAATAAATTGTTTGCGTGTTGAATGTCCATCTTTTATTTCAGTTTCTAACAAACAGTACCATTAAAACAGTTCAGGTTTAAGTTTTGAAAGCCATGTTTATATTTTGCTGAACATCTGTTTTTTTCTGTTTTGTTTTCATACAGGCACTGGGAAGTTTTTACTTTCTACATGAATCCTTGAAAAACATATACCAGTTTGACTTCAAAGGTGAGTATAAAAGCAAAAGCAAAGCGTGCTGCTTATATACTGCCCCATAGTGCTTCAAGCACTCTCTGGGCGGTTTACAAGTTAATTATGCAGGCTACACATTGCCCCTCCAGCAAGCTGGGTACTCATGTTACCGACCTCAGAAGGATAGAACGCTGAGTCAACCTTGAGCCGGCTACCTGGGATTGAACCCCAGGTCATGAGCACAGTTTTGGCTGCGGTACAGCGGTTTAACCACTGCGCCATGAGGCTCTTAGAAAAGTACTTTGAAAGTTGCAACATGTATTTACCTACATCAGTAAGTGTCACTAAATTCAGTGAACCTCGAATTCCACTGAATTCAATGACGCTTCCTTTTGTATAGAAATAGGTAGGGTCATGCAGCTTATGTCACACAGTTGGGTTCTGTTCATAGTAGAAGGAAGAGCCCACATTGCTTTCATGGATTTGTTTGACACATTATGTTGCACAAATCTAAGTTTGTCGTTGCATGTGTTTTTCACATGAGCTGCCTTCTGATCAGTGAACCCTGTGTTTGTTGCATTTACATGTTCCATTTTTATGTTCATGAAAGCTTGTGATATTGCAAGCGCACACCTCAAAATATAAGATACAGAAAGGGGCACAGATTATTTGCTTCTTTTGGGAGCAGGATTGGTGCTTGGTGAAGAAAATCTGATAGGTTTGCTAATAACCACCAGAGTAAATTTTGCTTTTCACATGAGTGGTATCAATAATGTACACATAAATATTGGTTACTATGAATAACTGCATGCTTGATTCATAATCCAATGAATACTTGTGACAAGATCATATTAGTGATTCTTTGTTTACCTGGCGAGGCCATGGTCAAGATCACCAAGTAAACTTCATGGCTGAATCAAAATGAGAACCGCAGCACTCTTTAATTCACTGTATCACACTGTTATTTTGATACTAGAAAAGAAAATGTCAATAAAGTGTGTTTCACTTTTCTATATGTATGTATTATAGAAAATCACAGTAGATACGAAGATTTAAATTATACTTTCTTCTATCACGTGGAACAACTTTGATAAAAGTACACCACTCAGAATTTTGAGAAATATCTCCTCATATTTCAACATAAAAATCTCATAAACTTCATTTCACTCATTGAGACAGGTCACATTCATTCTCTGTCTTTGCACCACATTTATTTGAAACATCATTGAAATTGTGAGCGCACTAATTGTCTCAATTGTTCCGTTTCATTATTCTTGCTCTTACTCAAGATAGATTGCCCCTTTTCTAGTAATTGAAGATAGGATGGGAACAGGGAATGCCTGTTCTGAGTGAAAGATTTGAATAGCTGTTCTGTGAGTATTGCATTTCAAGGTTTAACTACCATAAATCCTTCTACTCATCATTTTTTTTGATGTTGAAGTAGAATCGCAGACATAATGTCCAAAACTCATCATCAATATTTTATTCCTGATAGAGAACAATGTACATTGCAAGAGAGAGAGAAATTTTAAATGAGATATTAACTTGCCTGTCCACACATTTTCCCCACCTGTGTCAGTTTAATGACTGTGGAGCAATAATATGAGTTACTCTTAATCAAGTGGACTTTGGCAATCTATCCACTTAACGTTTAGTGCTAATTCTTGATTTTGTACCTGACTGCTTACATCACCAAAATCAACCTTCATCTTATTGTGATTTATTTATATTTAAATCTGATTTCACCCCAGTACTTTGAAAATGCGACTGCATGGGATCTGGAAGGGCCTACCAAGCACTTTGTGTTGTGTTTTCTGGGGCTTTGGTGGGAAGGGGAACAGTAGCAGAAATCGGGGACCCTCAGAAAGGAGTGCCCTGTCTTTTCACAAATTTAGATGTTAAATATTTTAAAGGCCCTTTTCAATATAATGCCTACATTACACCAGTTCTACAATAGGTTCAGTTCCTCCTCAACACTGCAGTTATTCCTTCCTCCATCCATCTAACAGTTCATTGAAGAGAAAGCAGTAGTTGAAGGGATAGCATACATTGAGGTAAATCTGGTGAACTGAAGAAGTGGGAGTTGGAGCAGCCACTTCCTTGATCCCACTTTACAGACCATTATAGTCATAGGTTCCTAAGGCTGACTGTATCACTAGAAAGAGCACTTCACAAATAATCTTCAGTGTTCTCACCTCAAAGTGTAATGGCAGAAGAATTAGAAGCTTGTCACCTGAAGCTGTGGGTTAGAGCCTGTGAATCTGTACATGGAAGAATCCATATTAAAATGAAAGTATGTCCCACTGCCTTGTGGTTTACATCCATGGTTTCTATCCATAGTTGGTGAAATGGATTGCAAAACAAGAGGTGGTTTGGGGTGCATGCTACACTTCTAATAATAAATGAAACAATATATAAGAAAAAGCAAAGCATATAATACTGCAAAATATGAGCATCTGTGTGTACTGTCTTGTGAATCACGACACAAGAATATTGTTCAATGCAGCAGTAGGAAATTAAAAGCAACAAGTTTCCCACCATGATTAGCTTCTCCAGCATGACCTTGCACTGTACTTCCACATAGCAAAAGCTTGCTGAAGTTATGTTTTCATTGATTTCCAGTATCATCCCAATTTACTATTTATTTCATCCCAAGTACATACAGTTAATTAATAAACCTATACAGCAAATTAATGCAAAATATGTATAAGTAAAACAAGATGGTCTAAGATCAGAACAGTTTTAAAATGTACAACAAATCTCCAAAGAACAAGTTGCCAAAGAGGCTTTTGAAAAGAAAAGTTGTGCTTGCTAAAATCTGGTTCTGGTAACGGAGGCATGCTAAAAACTTCTTATTTTCTCCTAGCTAAGAAGTACAAAAAAGTTACGGGGAAAGAAATCTACTCAGATACGTTAGAAAGTACACCTATGCTGGAAAAAGAAAAGTTCCCACAGGATTATTTCCCAGAGGTAAGTATGAACAAGTGGCAGTTCTAGAGGACAAACAGCTTTATTGTGATCTTATTTGTGCAGGTGATGGTGGTGCGGATGGAACTATATGTTAATTGAGGAGCTAAAAATACTGCTTTTTTTACTATTCAGTCTGAAATCTCTTACTGATGAGTCCCTGAGCAGGCTTTTAGAAACTGACCTTAAAGCAGAGGCAGCCTCATAGATGCGTAGCTGATCTTTTAGACAACAGGGTTCCAAAACTTTTAGCGTTTCAAAGGTCATAATTAGAACTTCAAGTCCTGCCAGGAAACACATAGCATCATGGGCACAGAATTGGTGAAATGCTTCCAGACCTTTTGGACCCTATAAGCATGGGTTCCAAACCTTTTAGGGTTTCAAAGGTCATAATTACGTAGATCTTCAAGTCCTGCCAGGAAACAAATAGCATCATGGGCACAGAATTGGTGTAATGCTTCCAGACCTTTTGGACCCTATAAGCATTCTTACTGCCACATTCGTTACTAACTAAAGTTTCCAAACTGTTTCTAAAGCATGTGTACCTGACCCCTGAAGAGAGGATACAACCCTATCCAGAACCAGTTGTACAGATCATATCAGAGCAACATTTTCCCCACAAGATTTCCACCTTATGAGGAAAAAAGCTGATCAAACAAGATGTCATATCAAAGTAACAAGCTGCTGAGGCTACCCAGGAGTGTGTCACTTATATGACTCATATTTTCCCATAGCAGGAGTTTACCTGGCTTTCTGTTGGCATAACTGAGTGTCTCTCAGGTCTTACAGGCATTTAGCAACTCCAACAGAGAAATCCAACTAATCTCTATATTAACCCAGTTAGCTTTGTTTATAAAATGTGATTAACTATGCAAAGTTGCATAAATTTACACAGAAGTAAAACTCACTGAGTCTCATGGGGCCTACTCCTAGTTAAGTATACAGTGGTGCCTCGCTTAACATCATTACACAGAAACTCACCGAGTTTCATGGGGCCTACTCCTAGTTAAGTATATAGGAGTGCTGCTGCCTTAATCAAACATGGTCCATGGCTCTGTAAAACAGTGTTTATTTTGTGTGCTTACCTGGCAAAATTTACATCTACTTTACATTGCAGTATTTTACACACTCTTCTAATGTAACATTTATGTTCTTTGGAGGGAGAGGTGTGTGGTTTGCCCTTAGTTAAAGACTGATTTCTTTTCTTTTTATTACTGTCGCTTAAGGATGATCTAAAAGTAATTACAATGATTGAGGCATAATGCCATTCAAAATAATTACAGCCCACTGCATATAAAAGTAACAAAACTTTCTGTGTTGATTTATGGCTTCTCTTGGCTGTGCACGCATCTCAAAACGATGCCTTTGGGAGCAACTGGCTTTATTCTGACTCTTCGTTAATTTTTGGTGAATTTCCCCCCCATTGGAATGCATTGAACTGTAGTTTGAAAGCCAGCCTAAATTTAGAGGGTGGTCAGGATGTTTAAAAAATAATAAACACCTGCCTAAAGTAGCATTCCAAAGTTCTCAGTCACTGGGGTATACTGATCACCTTCTACAAACATCGCTAAGCGAAACAGGGGACCTAAACTGTCATCGCTAAGCGAGGCAAGGTCCCGAACATCGCTATGCGAAATTTCCCCATAGGGAACATCGCTAAACGGAGTGCAAAATCGCTCCAAAAACCTCATCACTAAGCGAATACATCGTTAAACGAGGCAATTGCTAAGCGAGGCACCACTGTATAGGAGTGCTGTTGCCTTAATCAAACATGGTCCATGGCTTTGTAAAACAGTGTTTATTTTGTGTGCTTACCTGGCAAATTTACATCTACTTTAAATTGCAGTATTTTTACACACTCTTCTAATGTAACATTTATGTTCTTTGGAGGGAGAGGTGTGTGGTTTGCCCTTAGTTAAAGACTGATTTCTTTTCTTTTTATTACTGTCGCTTAAGGATGATCTAAAAGTAATTACAATGATTGAGGCATAATGCCATTCAAAATAATTACAGCCCACTGCATATAAAAGTAACAAAACTTTCTGTGTTGATTTATGGCTTCTCTTGGCTGTGCACGCATCTCAAAACGATGCCTTTGGGAGCAACACTCCAGATAATGTTAGGTCATTTTTAAAAAGCAGATTTGTGTAGTCTATCATGGGTGAGCAATTCCTCCCAGCCCCCACATAGTGAGAAATTGGTTGTTATCATAGATCACCGATACTGCTCAAAGCTCTTGTGAAAGATGAATTAATTTCACTAATGCTTTAATGCAAACCTTTCATGGAGAAGGCTGTATGGTGATAACCTTATTGCAGTCTCTCTTTTCTCAATGATGATTTATGTTGTCTTTTAGTAGATGAAACTGCCTGTATTCACAATCTGTCTGCTGGCTAAAGGAATCTTATTAACAGGAAAACTGGAGAGAGACTTAATATTGTATAAAGTGAAAGATGCTGAACTCATTTTCTTAGGACATGGAGCTGCCATGTTCTAAAATCTAGATAACACCTTATCGAAAGATAATTTTGAACAGCATTGATATCTGCTGCTGAATCAAAAGAAAATATCCTGCTTTCTCAAGAAGATTCCTACTTGGAACAAAAAAAAGGGTTTGCTTTGAGTACCCTAACAGGGAAATGGGTTAGAAATGGAAACACAAGAGTAGTTGCCCTTTCTGATCCCATTACGTCTTTACCCATACACTCACCACAGTTCAGCACCACACCTATGCCTCTTCCTAAACTTTCCTTTGTGAACTGGTGTTAACTCACAGCTCTACATGTTTGCTCTTGTAACATACTTGTTACTGCTAAGAACCTGTTCACTATAGTTTTGAATTTCACCATGCCTGCAAAGAATTGGAATGCCTTGATTCCAGTGATCTATGATTCATTTCAACAGTGTATGCCTTAGAGAAATGAAACAGCCCAAGCAAATACAAGATAGTGGCCAGTTTTCTGCTGGTGGAAGTAGTAGGGGATGATCTCTCCCTCCTGCAGCCTTTCCAAACATCCTCCAGAAAGCTGAGAAACCCTGCAGAGCATGTTGTTGGCAGTGCAGAGTACAAGTGGGCAGAGGGGAAAATCTTGTTACTGCTAATATCGCATTGTAATTCCTAGCAGTAGTAGAGGCTTATTAGAACATTTGGAATCTCCATTACAGGCAGAACACCTAGGAATGGGATGGTGGTATATCACTTTTAGTTTTGGTTCCTATCCACCACACATTTGGGGAGAGAGGGGCAAAGTCCAGTGATAGTAGATAGCAGTTGACTAATAAGTGATGGTCCAAGTCATTTGCTGTCATAGGTGGAACAGCCAATGGTGTCTTGCTCTGAGAGAACTGCTGGATAGCTTAGTGGTTTAGGTATCTGGCTGCAGAACCAGATGTTGGGAGTTTGATTCCCCACTGTGCCTCCTTGACAGGGGCTGAAGTTGATTATCCTTCCACCTCTGTAGTTCTAAGATCATTATTACTAATATACAGCTGATGGTGCCTTCAGCCCTAGGTCATTTCAGCAATATTCTAAACAAGGCATCAGTTGCTTTTTTCAGAAGCAGTCACAGATATTTATTTTGATCTCAGAGGGCTCAGTGCCTACAATTTGTGTAAGTTAACATGTTGTTAGTGGGTTCACATTGACTTCCTCTTCCACTCCCAGATCCAGCAGAGACCTCAGCCCCAATTCAGAATTATTATCCATGTAGAAAATTTGCACAAAGAGGGAAGTGCTCTAGCCCTGTCCAATCTGTCCATGATGTCAGTGATATCCTCCATGATATGGAGAGTGATGAGACCGGGAGGGGGGCTTTGCTATTTGTGGAAGCTGCCCATGTGTGTTGGAGCCCATATTTTCCAGGGTTCTGAATCATATAGCCCTCATGGACACAAGAAGTTCTTCCTCTGTAGATTCATTACTCACCAACTGTAAGTAGATGATGGAAGTGACAATGGAGGGAGCAGGTCTTCCTTTATGTGAACATTCCACATGCATGGATAATGAAACCAGAGTTTTAGAATAACTTGCACCAATAATAAATCCTCCAGTTCTTCAGGGCCCTTTGTCACCCTTCATGTCTCTATCTGTCAGCTCATTCATCTTGATACATCCCTTTCCACAATCTTCAATTCAAAGTGATCTCCTCCCTCCAAAGAACTCTAACCTTTACTGCTTCCATGTTGGGAGTCATGCTTTTTTTGTTCTGTGCAAAAGTGAGCCTAACAGTTAAATAGTCCTATCCTGTCACAATCGGATTCAATGTTATATTCCCTGATCTTATCCTTTATCTGTGATATGGGTGGGATTTGTGGGGATCTACTTAGGAATTGTTGTTTTTTAACCATGTGGTCAAGGACTCAACAAAAGAAGGCATGCTATTTAATTTGCAAAACATAAGCAGGTCTGTTAATGATAGGACCTATTGGAGTTCACTAATTCATAGAGTCACTATAAGTTGGAAGCAGTATGAAAGCTACAATTGTGTAAAGTCCACCAGTTGTAACTAGGTGGAAGCTAGTGGCGCAAATAGATAGTCACTACGAATTTAGAAACAGACTGTCTGTGAGCACATACGAGGTCCAGGAATTTGTGAGTCCGTACCAGAGCTCTGATCACAAGTCTTTTAAATGAAACCTAAATTTCTCCCAATGTGATCAATTTCATCGCAGAGTTCCCATTTCTTTATCACAGTGTCCCGTCTGACTAGGAGCAAATGTTGCCTACAAAATGTTTTGAATGCTCAGTGCCAGTGCTGCCAACCCCACCCTAAGAGTATTAGTTCAGTTAAATTATTTGTTTTGCACAGTTCAGTTTTCATAAAGATGGGAATTGTTGTCTGCCCTCTGAATTTGTGAGCATATTCCCTACTTTTCAGTTGTTTACTGTATTCAGCTGCACATTGAAAAACAGCTTTATTCTGTACAGAACTTATCTTAATTTGCACCAGATAGACAGAATTCATTTTAACTTTAATCATATCCAAGCATCAAACTGGCTAATT